CTCACCCCCTAAGCCATCTCATCACACCTATGGCTTCCTATTCCACTGCTATCCACAGCCTGAGGACCCCCACATCTTGGCCTCCTGTTCTCCCCTCTCCTCTAAGCTCCAGACCCATATGTCCAACTGCTTGTTGAACACCTTCCCTTGAATGTCTCAAGGCACCTCAGACTCAACTTGCCTAAGACTCAGAATCCTCCTTTCAAGCCAGGTCCGTTCCTGCATTCCCTGCCTCCCTGATCAGCACTGTAGTCAGTACAGGTGTGCAAGCCTGGAAGCGAGGAGCCACCCTTGACACTTTCCTCTCCCACCCCCATAGCCAGGCCATAGACAGTCTTGTCAATCTGACCTCCCACATATCCCTCATGCCCATCTACTTCTTTCCCTCCTTTCAGACATCATCCCTCAGCTTCTTTCCATCCCAGCCACCAACATATCACCTCTTGCCTGGACACTGCAGTGGCCTGCTCACTGGTTTTTCTGTTCTTCTGGTTTCTCCACTTCTATCCCTCCTCTACACTGTAGCCAGAGTGAGCTTTTCAGAACATTATCCAGCCCTGCCCTCCTCTTCAGCTTCATGCACTGCTCTCCTCCTCACTCCTGATATCACCACTTCAGTTCTTGGAAAGCACAGTGTCCCTTCTACCACAGGACCTTTGCACAAGCTAGTCTCTCTGCTTCGAGATTTCTTTCCTTCTCCTTGGCCTAGCTAGTTCTCTCTCAACCTCAGATCTCAGCTGGGGCTTCCCTTCCTTTGGGAAGCCTCCCCAACCACAACCAGAGAGCCACCACCACGAGCCTTTCCTATAGAGTGCCTACATCAATTAAAAAACCCCACATGTGTGCATGGCAACTTGGTTAATGTCTGTCTCCTGTGATGGACTGTGAGAGCCATAAAAGTAGGAACAATGCTGATTTAACTTAGTGTCTAACTCGGCACCTGGTTATAGAAAGCCCTGGACAAATATTGAAAGGATGAATGGATGGACGAATGGACATATCAAAAGAAAATGAGACCTTTTCCCAAATTAGATTTAGAAACATAAAGCACCAAATATACCCTCCCGCTCTTACCAAATTCTAGACCAGAGCTGTTCATGTTAACTCTCACTGTTCATTAAAATCATCTAGGTAAGGGCACATACTTGTAACTAGTAGATAAATAAGTCCTGGGGATCTAACACACGGTACAGTGATTATAGACAACAAAACTGCATTTTAAACAGTAAACTTGCTAAGAGACAGATCTTAATTGTGCCCACCACTAAAAGAAATGATACTTATGTGATGAGACAGAGGTGTTGGGTGTTAGCTAAGGCTACAATGGCAATCGTATTGCAACACAAATGTATCACATCAATATGTTGCACACCTTAAATTTATACAATGTTATATGTCAACTATATCTCAATTTAAAAAATAATTTTAAAGAATTGTAAACACATAGGAAGCTGAAAGGATTATATACTGTATGACTCCAACTATACAGCATTCCGAAAGAGGCAAAACTACAAAGATAGTAAAAAGACCAGGGGTTGTGGGGGTAAGAGTTAGGGGTTGGTGGGAATGGAGGGATGAATAGGTAGAGCACAGGGGAGTCTTAGGTCAGTGATCTAAGGTCATTATACATTTGCCAAAACTCATAGGATGTACAACACAAAGTGAACCCTAATGTAAACTGTGGACTTTCGTTAGTAATAATGTATCAATACCCATTTATCGGTTGTAACAAATGTATTACACTAATGCAAGATATTAATGGGGGAATGGGGAGGGCAGGAGGGTGGGCAGGAGAGGGGGTTGAGAGAGTATATGGAAACTTTCCACGTAATTTTTCTATAAATCTAAAACTGTTCCCAAAAATAAAGTCTATTAATTAAAAAACAAAAAATCCTGACACCCAGACTGCACCCCAGACCAATTAAATCAGGGTGGAGCCCAGGCATCAGGCTTTTTTAAAAGCTCCTTAGGAGATTCTAGGGTGTAACCAGGTTGATAACTACTGTTTAGACTGAATTAGGATGGGGCAGACCACAGCTGGGAGCCCTCTCGCAGCTTTGGGGTGGGTTTCCTGGGGAGGTGGTGGGTATTGGCACAGATTGCGTAAAAGGAGAGGAGAGCACCTAAGAGCAAGGGGATCCTCTCCTGTGAAAGCTCCCGCACCTTAAGGATGGTCCCCCGGACTCTGAAGACCAGATAAGGCCAGAGATATACAGGCCAGATAAGTAGCTTACTAGGGATTAGGTGGAGAGAATGGAGTCCCCAGAGGGAAAACTCTATTCTTATGATTCAGCTGACAGATGCTCTTCACCCTGGACTGGGTGTCCATGGCTTAATTGACCATCTTGCCCCTGGTTCCCTCCTCCATACCTGGCTGTGCCCTTTGGGGTCTCATACACATCCATTCCTCCAGGGAACAAAGTCTGGGTCCTCTCCCCCTCCAGGGTAGCTGCCAGTCGCCACCCAGGTTGGGCTGATCAGTTTGTCATTAGCCCATCCCAGCTTTGTAATCAGCGCCCCTGCCTTCCCCTGACCATGCCTAGGCCCTGAGCATCTCCAAGTCACCTCTTTCAGGAAGCCTTCCCTGGTCCACAGCCCCCGAGGCACCCTTGCCATGTGATCTGGTGTCTGGTCCATCTCCTACAAGACTGGAATCAGGGCCCAGGAATTGTAACCTTGCTCACTGGCTGAGTCACTTTCACAACTTGTATCTGCCCACTCCGTTCCACCATGATGAAGTGCAGTACAGCGAGTCCCTGCAGGCCAGGGCTCTGTTCTGCAGGTGAGATGGTGGACAGACCCCTCTCCAGGCCCTCCTGGTCTCCTCCTGGACCTCAGTTGTCCCCCAGGGCCCAGTAGCACTCACTATATGACTCTCCTGGCCTCCCTCAGCAGTCCCAGGCCGGCTTCCTTGCCCAAGGGGAGGCCGTGTGGGTGTGCCAGCCTGCGTGCATGGGTAAGGTGGGGGGATGACTCCGTAACCTGTGGGGAGTTTATATGGGTCCCAGTATGTGTCTGTGTGTCTCCCTGGGAAAATAGGCACCCTCAGGCCCTGACCATCCCTCCCTCCTCTCCCCCAGGGTGAGACCATATAGGATGGTAGTGGTTGGGGAGAGCAGGGAGTAGGCAAAGTGCCTGTGGGATCCAGAGCCCAAAGACATTCTCTTCGGGGAACCAGGGCCTCCCAGGGCAAACCTCGGGCTGCCCCCCAGCCTTCAGCTTGACACCCCTGGCCTGGGCTCCGCTCACCCATGTGGTTAGGTCTGGAAGTGCAGACTCTTGTTTCTGATTGGCTCAGATGTCCTTCTTTGTGGGTAGGATTCCGGATTTTCCTGGCCGCTGGTGTGGGAAGACCTGGGTGGGGTGGGTGGGCAGGAGGCCTGGGCGCTAGCCTGGCTCTTCCCTGACGGCTCTGTGACTCTGAGCCAGTTACTGATTCCTGGGCCTCAGTTTCCCTACCACAGTGTGCCTCCTAGAGTGGTTGTCCTCATGGGGAAAACGATATCATGGAAAATGATATTCAAAGCCTTTAGCATGATGATCTTGCCCGTCAGACGCAAGCTCAGGGTTTGGTGACCACCGCCTGGTCTGATGAACCAGAGGTTTTTCTGACTGTGGGATAGGCCTTGGAGGGAGGGATAACCTTGACAAGGAGAGGTAGAGATGGGGAAAGGCATGTCGTGGAGGAGTGGGTGTGCCTGAGAGCCGTGGGGAACGAGGAGTGAGGGGAGTGTGGGCGGGTGGCGCACGGGTCAGGAGAGCATCCTGAGAGGCCAGCAGGGTGGACGGCAGGAGCCTCAACGGGAGGCTGAGCACTGTAGGGAGCACAGAAGAGCTCTGAGAGGGGTGGGCACCCAAGGTCACCTTAGCAGCCGGTAAGAGGATGGATTGGAGTGCTGAGGACCAAGGCCAGAGGACCAGTGAGGAAGTGAGATGGTGGGGTCCCACATTGAGGGGTTGTAGTGGTAGGGAGGAAGTGGGAATAAGAACCGCTTATTAACTGGTCTTGGCTTTTGGGGAACTTCTGCCTGACTGCCAGCACCCCTGCTGGAGAGGACTTGTTTGGTGCAGCCCCTCATGGGACCTTCACAGGACAACTAGGAAGGCAGGAGCAGCTCTGGCCTCCATTGCTCAGATGGAAGAACTGATCACCACGCCAGGCAGCCTCTGGAGTGTGGTCCTGCTTGGTCTGCAGACTCACCCAGCTGGGAGCTCCACAGATAGACAAATACCTATCATACAGGACGTGCTGAGGCCATGGCCTATAAGTCTGGTTCCTGGCAGCCCCAGAGGCAGAAAATTCTTTTTATTTTCAGGGTCTCACTTGACGAGGACTTACTCTGTGCCAAGCACTGTGTCAGGTGCTTGGCACAAGGACTTCATTTACTTGACAAGAACTCCGAGGAGGTGCTGATGTTATCTGCATTCAATCGATCAGGAAACCGAGACTCCTCCAGTGACTTGCCGGGGTCATAGAGCTATTAAGTGGCAGAGCTTGGATTCAAGCTCAGGGCTGTCTGACCTCAGTGAGGAGTGTTTTCATCACGGCCACAGAGGGCCCTAGTATGAACAGGGAGCTGCAGGGTCCCAGAGGCCCGAGCCAGTGCCCAAGTCTGAGGGGTCACAAGGAGGACACAGGGCTCCTGTCACAGGGAGCCTGTGAGGCTCCACCAGGAGCTCTGCCCCAGGAGGAGTGGTGAAGGCTCCCAGAGACCAGACCTCGGCCTCCCTGGGTCCCTGTGAAAGAAGTGTTCCCTCTCAGGCAGCCCACTGGCTCCTAAACAGCCTATCCTTCAAGGAGGGGCCGCAGGACCTGCTCAGAAAACAGCCACATCCTGGTCTGTAGCCCTCCCCCTCCAGAGCCAGCCCCCTCCCTTCCTGTCCCTTCCCCCTAGAGCTCCTCTCACTGCTTCGACCCTTCTAGAAAAGCTAGCAAAGCCAGCTGGTCCAGCTGGTAAGCGAGAACACATATGCGGATGCAGAGAATGCACACAGAGTTTTGTTTTGTTGTTTTTTTTTTTTAACTCAAGAAAGGGCTTTTATTGGTTTTAACTCACTTCCTGGGAAGTTAATTTTTAAAACACTCTTATGGAGTTTGTTCATCCCTTGTGCTATATTTAGAAACAATGATGCCCATGCCCATCAAAACCCTCAGCGATGGAATGAGCCCCAATCCGGGTTCTGACCCAGGCAATGAAGCCAGGTCCACCTTGGAGCTCTGCGAGGACAGGTCCAGGGAATGTCGCCCCCCTTGAAACGCCCACCCTCCAGGCTCCAGTGCAGAGATGCTCAAGAAAACCTCGTGGATCTGTGACTGGCCTTCTATGAACTCTATAAAAGTGTTCTTAAAAACAGTACCGAGTTATTTTTTAAGCCCTGGGTTACAATGCCTTTAGTGGAGATGAGCCAGAGAGAAAGGTGGACCCATTGACAATGGGCTACATTCCGCTCACAGCCTTAAATAGACATAGAAACTATATTACAGATGCATGTGCCAGTGCAAGACATGCGAGTATGCTGTGTGCAGCAGATGGGCACGCACATGCGTATGTGCGTGGAGGCGTGACGTACACCCACAGGCACAGATGTGCAGGACGGGCACTCCTCCAGCCCAGCCTCCCTCTTCTTCTCAACACAAGTCCTCCTGCGATATGAAACCCACGCTGGTGACTGTAATCCCTTGTTTGGTCCACATTTTCAGGGGAGGTCTCTGAGTCCTGCTTTCTTTTCTTTGGGAAATCAATCTCTTGAGCATTTGATCAGTGAACACGAAGCTATCAAGTGATCCTGAAAAGAAGGTGACGTCTGCTCCAGCCCAGCCAGGTTGACACATGCTCCAGCGCTCCAGCTCTGAGGAGGTTCAATGGCGACTGTCCTGGGGGCGAGGCAGTGGTGGAAGGGTCCTCTCTCCAAGGCTGCCTGCCAGCATGCACACCCCACCAGGCCCTGCTTCTAGCGCGACCTCCAGCCTAGGCAGTTTGTCCTTCATGGTAGGAATGTGAGGGCAGCTTCTGGGGCCAGATGGGGAGGCCAGTGTAGGATAGGAGATGGGATTCCAGTTACTTCAGCATCTGCGAGGCCACAGCCCTGTGAGTCCAGAGTCGAAGTCAGCCCCTGGTCTCTCTTCTGCAGGCATGGCTCTGAGGAGCCACACAGGGAGGGAGTAAGGTGGGCAGGGAAGGGTTGGTGCTCCTGCTTCAGGCGTCTAGAAGCTCAGAGCTTTAATTCAGCCCATGCTCCAAATAGTGCCAAGTGTGAAACACAATCCGGGATGGTTAGTCCAGTTCACCTGACTGCCAATAATGATGGGGTGTGCTAGGAACAACCCAAAGCTGTAGGGGAGCTCATTCAACGTTCCCAAGTAGGGCTTCACACCCCATTCCCCCCATGTTAGAAATAAAAGTAAAAGACAACAAAAAAATGGATCTAATTTCTCCAAATATTGACCCCTGCCCAGGTGAGGCCCAAGAACACCCGTCAAGGGCTCAGAGTCTCCACACCAGTGTTCTCAGCAGACACACGCTCTGGCAGCACCCCGCTGAGGTGGGCAGAGTACGCCCCTCCATGTGCATGTGGCAGCTGAGCCAGGCCCGCCCAGCTCCCAGTGCAAGGTCTCTGCAGTGGTGGTAAGCGAGGCCTCCACCTGCCATTTTGGTTTCTTGCCTCCTGCCTCTGGGCCTTGCCAACAAGCCAAGTGGGGTTTCTAAGGCACCATGGGCACCTACCTTCCTCATAGCATGGGTCCCACCAAGAAGAGCCAGGATGAGGAGAAAGGCCTCAAGGGAGCCCTGTCCCCAAACCCCAGATGACACACACTCCAATCCTGTCCCTGGACACGCGTGGAGGTCATGCAGCACGACAGGGGAAGGGGAGCCAGGAGAAGGGCTGCAGTCCCCAGCCCCCTGCCCGCAGGGGCGGTTGTCGGCATGAGGGCCGTGGGCCTTTGGAGGCGCGGGATGAACGTGCTGCTGGGCGGCCCTGGGCGCATGCAAGGGCTCAGGACGCAGCCTCATCTTCTTGGACTCCGGGGAGCTCCGGGCTCTTGATCCCTTCACCACACCCATCTTTCCTGTTCAGGAGATACCAAGAGAAAAGGGACCTCAGGGGCCAGAAGATGCCCTAAGAAAGGACACACAGGCAATCATACACACCAGCTCTCACATCCCTCCTCACCTACTTCCCCAAGCTTGCCCTCTGCATTGTGGTCCTTTTCCCCAAATCTCAGCCCGCAGCCCTCTGTGCTCCCTATTGCCCAGGGGTGAAACCTAGATTTCCCATTCTGGCTTCCAGAACCTCTCACGATCTGACCCAGCCGACTTCCCTGCGTCCTCGAGTACCAGCCAGTTCACCAGACCTTCCATGTTGGCCCAGATCAGCCCCACAGTCCTGGGTAGAAGGGCTTTGGTTTTACATTTTTTCTTTGTCTTGTACACAGGGTAGACTCTTCTACCCATCAGTCTTAGGATTCTGTCATATAGTCAATAGATTTCTCTATCTGATTTTTCTCCTAAGACCTTTCTTTTAAAAATGACCAATGAGGGCCGGCCGAGTGGCGCGATGGTTAAGAACTCGCTTGGGATGCCAGAGGGCCCCGGTTCGGATCCCACATATGAGGGCCAGTGACACTGCCCTCCACAGCTAAGATGCTGAACAACAGCTCAACCTGGAGCTGGGCTGCCATGAGTCGCCGGCGACGGCGTAGGCTGCAGCCCCTGTGGCAGTGGGTTGCCATGGGCTACCGTGTGTAGCCAGCAGCCAGCGTGAGCGGCCAGCAGCCGCAGTGAGCGGCCGTCCAGAAGCCGGCGACTGATCTGCCTCGCCAGAGAAGAGCGCGATGATGGTGCCAACTTGGACCAGTGAAGCGACATCCTCCACAACTAGATTGAAGAACAAAACGACAGCAACTTGTCTGTTCCCCTTCCCCCAATTCCCCAGCACTGTTCCCATCCCCCTAATTCCCCAATAAAAATCTTTAAAAAAATAAAAAATAAAAAATAAAAAATAAAATAAAATAAAATAAAAATGACCAATGAACAGGTTTGGGTATCTTGAAATTTAGAATCAATCCTATTTAACTCTACTGTAGAGTTTCAACAATTATCCCAAAGTGTCCAAAAAAAAAAAAGCTGATCAAGGACAAATTTGGGACTTTATGATGAGGTAAAACCTGCTTTTCAAAATTAAACTTGGGTCACAGAATTATAGAATTTTATAGCTAGAAAGTAATAAGTCCAATTCTCTCACAGTCCAGACAAGGCAACTGGCCTGTCTCCCCACTAACATGTGTATAAAAGGACAATGATTGCCTAGGTCACTGTATTCTTGGTGGGCCAGCCCTGGGCCCGGTGTGGACGAGGTGCTGGTTGTGTCTTTAGCCTGTGACTGGTCTGTCCCACCACTAGGGGGCGCTGAGTCATGGGCACTGAGCTAGGGTGACCTAAGTCCAGGTTTACTGTCATGGTTTTGCCTATGTCTGTAGTCCTGGCATAGTTAGTAATAGCTACCTCTTTCACTCTGAAAAGTGGCTCCATTTCTGGATGCTAAATATGTGATCCCCTACACTAAGCCCAATTCCAGGATCGAGGCCAGCGGACCTAGAGGAGCCCAGGGAACCCTCTCCCCCAGCCCTGGCCACCTCACTAAAGAGACTGGGAATCAGAAGTAATATCAAGGCCTCTCCCAGGCCCCACCCCTCATTCCCCTTTGGCCAGAAAGTCTGTCAAGAGAAGGACAAGAGGTTAGTAGTATATGGACATCCTTAAGGGCAAGCAACCTCTGGCAGGGAGCAGACACCAGCTTGTCCACAAGGGTGGGACCGGGGACCTGGCACCTCTGAAAAGCCTACTAAAAGAGGGTGGCCTCACACAGAACCAACATCTAGGCCCCTGGACAGCACAAGTGAAAGTACTCCTTCCTGAGGCCGAGGTACCTGGACCATGTCCATCGCCCCCTCTCTGGGGAGCACACCTTTTCCACATAGTGGGCTGGAGACACAACGCCTGCTCCCTGCAGCTCCCTTCACAGATCAGAGGGAGGCAACCGACTTCCCAGGACCACGTGCAGATCCAGGAACCTCTCACGGCTTTCTGTCTGCAGGTCTGCACACCTTACTGGCATCCCAAACTGACTTTTATTTTAGTGGGAGAAGATGGACAAGCTGAGGATGAGGCTCTGAGAGGTTTGGAGAACTGCTTTTCTGACCTCCCCTAGCAGGTGGTGAAGGCACATGCCTGGTTCACAGTCGAGAGCCTTCAGCAAAGGGGGTTCCTCTTCCCTGGCTCAGTCAGCCAGCCTGTCCACGCTTACTTGCTGAACCAACGTTTACAAGAGTGCTGACTGGGCACTTGACCTCAGCAATGGCTGGAGGTAGCGTGAGCCACTCAGGAAAGCAGCTAGCACTGCCCCAGGCCAGGAAGGGTTGGCAGAAGTGCCCTCCCTCCACAGCTGAGCCATCTTCTATGAGGAGCAAACCTGAGGCCTGTCTGGAAACCTCTACCAGGCTGCCACGGGCTGAGGACAGAGGTGCAGACGGGCCCTACTCTGAGACCTGGCCGAGTCCCCAGGCTCCGGGCTCAGCCTTCACAGCCTGGGAACAGTGAGAGCTGAGGGATGTGCCACAGCCCCCACCCTGCTCCAGGGAGCACCCTGCAGGCCTCAGCCCACCAGTACTTACAACAGTAGGTTTCCTGGAGCAGACACGGATCGCTCTTCCCTCCGTGCTTGTGGCTCAAACGGGTTCCCAAAGGAACGCTTCCTCAGCATGGACTTAACCAGGATCTGGGGAGGACACGTCAGTGTGAGGAACACATACCCCTTCGCACCCAAACACACTGGTGGCCTCCACTTTGACTCCCTGGGGGGGCAGCTGCTAGGCAGGCCCTGCTGAGGCCCCCTTTCAAGCGGCAGAGAAAGAGTATTCCCAGCAGAGGAAACGACAAGAGCTTGGAGGGTGATGGCTGAGGGTGAATTCCGGGAATTGCGTCCCCGCAATTGGTGCATGCGGGGGCTGGGACGCCACGCTGAAAGCGGGGGTTTATCCTAAGGGCATGGGGAGTGCCATTAGGAAATGGCTTCTAGCTGAGGCGGGAAGGGTGGAGTGGAGGACAGGCAGCGCAGAGGGGGCTGCACAGCGGCCTGGGGGAGATGAGGGAGGGGCTGCTGGACCCTGGCTCTCTCACTTTGTCTGTCCTCCCACCACAAGGACAGGTCCATGCCCCTGCCCACATCCACACAAACTCACACACACATGCATAGCATAGGGGTGCATTCACTTGTTCATTCATTCATTCACTCATTCATTTAACCAACAACTTTTTATTGAGCGCCTACCATATGCCAGCCACTATTCTAGGCACAGGGGCCACACTGAGGCAAAAGTTCTTGCCCTCACGGAGCTTATATTCTAGTTGGAGGGAGAGGCAATAAATAAGTAAACTATATACCGTAATATATTGTTCAGTGGTAAAGGCTTAGGAGAAAAAAATAAAACAAGGGGGGGCCGCCCCAGTGGCTCAGTGGGTTAAGAGTTAGCTTGAGAGCGTGAACTCTGAGCAACACGGCTGCTGGTTCGATTCCCACATGGGCCAGTGATGCTGCACCCGAGCTGAGCTGCCACTGAGCTGACAACAGGTGGCAGGATGGCTCAGCTAGTGTAACAACAAGATTTCCTGTTCCATGGTGGGCAACGCCCGCCCACAACTAAGACTGAAGTCGGCACTTTGAGCTGAGCTGCCACCCAGATGGCTCAGTAGATAGAGCGTGCACTCTTAACAACAAGGCTGCCAGGTTTGACTTCCACATGAAATGGTGGCTATGCCCACCCGCAACAAAGATTGAACACAGCACCTTGAGCTTAGAGGCCACGAGCCGCCGACGGGAAGCCAGATGGTGACTGGCGCCCTCCACAACAAAGATTGAAGAACAACAACTTGGCTGGTCCCCTTCCCCAATTCCCCAACACTGTTCCCCTCCCCCAATTCCCCAATTTAAAATAAATAAATAAAATAAAATAAAATAAAAGCAAGGAGGATAGGTATGACAAGGAGGGGCTTGGAATTTTAGGGAAGGCTCATTTCTCACTGAGAAGGTGACTTTGGAGTCAAGACTTGAAGGGAGTGAGGAAGTGAGACCTGAGGATGGTTGGGCAGGAGCATCCTGGGAAGGGAAGAGAAGTGCAAAGGCCCTGGGGCAGCAGCTTACATGGCACATGGTTGGAGTCTAGCGAATGGAGGGAGGAGGGATTAGGTCAGCGGGGGACATGGGGACGGGCAGGCTGTGCAGGGTCTTGTGGCTCTTACTCTGAGTGATAGGGGAGCCTGAGTGAGCAGGGTCTGAGCTGCGAAGTGACATGATCAGGTCGCCAGGAGCACCCTGGTGTAACTGTAGTGGGGTGAGGGTGGAGGCGGGGGGGACAACTTGGGAGCCTATTCCAGTGCTTTAGGAAACAGGCGAAGGTGGCTGAGACCAGGGAAGGGGCCATAGGGACCCTGTGGGAACTGACTGGTCCCAGGGACCCCACAGAGCCCTGGAGCGCTACAGGAACAGGCAGGACTTTAGCCACCTGGCCTAGCGGGGCCTGGACCCAGCAGAGAAGGATGAAGTTCACAGGCCTGACCTACCCACAGCACGGCCCAGCTCCCTCCCCTGGCCTTGTGCACAATCTGACTCGGCACAGGGTGGGCCATGGTTCTCAGTGTCCCCAAACCCCCAAATGGCCACCAGGGGCTACTGTAATAACTTCCAGTGTTAATATGGAAGATGTCCTGAGGAAGATGAGAAAAACCAAAATGGGAGAGGAGAATGAAGGAGCATTCAGGCGGTGCCTAAGTGACAGATAGCGGGGCTCTGGGGACACTTCTCCAATGCAAAGGTTTCCTAGGCCTTTTCACTGTCATGTCCTTGGCACCTAACACAGTGCCTGGAAAATAGCAGAAGTTCAACAAGTGGAAGAAGGAAAGAAGGGAAGGAGGGAAGGAAAGAGGGAAGAAGAGGGGAAAGAATGCAGGGAAGGAGGGAGGAAGAAAATGCTTCTCCAGCAATGGTGAAAGCTGACACTCAGTGAGGGGCAGGATGTTTTTTTAAATCATTCACGCTCCTCACCAGGTCTCCTGCTCTCCCTATCACAAGGCTGAATAATGTGGCCTTTTTCTCCACGGGCCTCTGGCAGAACAGTGGCCTCAGCAGCCCAGCATCAACACTGGCTAACTAGGGGGCGCCTTCTGAACCCACCCCCCCCAGAGCCCAGCACAGAGCAAGTCTCAGGCAATGGCCACGCCCTCCTCAGGCCCTCCCCAGGACAAGGACAAGGCCACGCCCTCTTACCACTGTGGTCCAGCTGGGGATGAGCTTGACAGAGTTCTTCACCTCCTCCTCAGTCACTTCCACCACGCTGCAGTGCTCCTCCTCCGAGGGAAGGGGATCCTCCCCATTCTTGGTCACCCAGGGGTGCAGCTGCAGAGTTGAGGGCAGGGAGGGGTCAGGGACACAGGCAGAGAGATACCCAGTCAGCAAGGGACCACAGGCATTCCACCAGCAATCGCCGTGGAGCCCAAAGCCTGCAAACCTCAAACCCAAACCCAATACACATGTCCTGGGGCAGGGCTCTACAGGAGACACTGAGGCCTGCTTGCTATGTCCCAGCCCAGCCTAGCCTAAGACCTCTAGGTCCCCCACCTTGATGTCTGGCACCCCAATTCTTGTTTCTGGATTCTTGTCTAGCATCTTCAGAATTAGGTCCTTGAGCTCCTCACTGACCTTTGGCCTAAAGAGGGGAAGGAAGAAGATGGGGGAGAGACAGTTGATGAAGATCCTTTCGTTCCCATCTCTCCCCCTCAACCCCTGATCTGGGGGTTCCCTGATTAGCACCCCAGGACAGAGACACCCAACCCTCATTTCTTAGAAAGCAGACGGTACACCCCCAGGTTGGAAAGAGAGACTTTCAGAACAAGTATATGGATGTCCTTCTCTCCTGAGTAGAAAGTGAAGCAGTCTCCCTCAGGAGGCAGAGGCCACAAAGAGTTCCTGGGGGGGGCGGACAGTCCTCTGGGTATCAGAGATGGTGAGGATAATGTGAGAAGAATCGCTTTATGGGACACCAGTGGCCTTCACTCCCACTCACCATCTTATCCTCTCCCTAACCTGGGAGGGAGCCAGGGAAGAGTGTCACTTGACAGGAGGAAACCGAGGCCCAGAGAGGTGAGTGGGTTAGCATATTACTACCCAGAAAAGTGAGGGCAGGGAGGAGAGGCTTGGGGTGGGGGACCAGGACCCTCAGCCCCACATTAGCCTGGACTGTCTCTGCCCAAACTCCAGGCTTCTTGGCTATCAACATTCTCGGGGAGCCCATCCCTCCAAGCCTGTGGAAGAGGAATCCACTCTTTGGACTGCTAGCCTTGGCTCCCTCTCTTGTCCTACATACTGAGTCCCTTTTAAAATGCCTGGGCGAGGAAGAAAGAAAGCTCTGGCAGGGGGTCCTTCAGAAGAAAAGGAAGGGAGATCGGCAATTACAGGAAGGGACGGATCCAGATGGCTAGTGTGGCAGGCGAGGGACGATGTGGCAGCAGAACGCAGAGGTCCTGGAATGCCAGGGCCAGAGCATGGCCTCTTCCTGTGGGCTTTGGGAAGCCTCAGAAAAACTTGAAATAGGAGATATGGTGATATTTGTTGTGCTTTCTCAGGGTCAACCTGGCCTGCCTGTGGTGGCTGGACTGGGTGGAGGCTGGCAGCAGGAAGACTAGGGAGGAGGTGGCTAGGTAAGGGTGAGGTGAGTGAGGCAGGTGCACAGGTGGCAGTGGAGCCAAGAGATACGTAAGAGGTGGACTCGAGAGGACTTGGGGACCAGACAGGAAATGGGCATTAGGGAGCAGGAGTCACTGAGGACAATACCCAGGTTGGTTTGTGACCTGCCCTGGGCACTTTGAGCAGATAGCAGAAGGGCCCTGAAAAATTGAGGAGCCACAATAGCCAACATCAGAATCAGAAGAACTAGGTAAGCAGGAAGCCGCCTTTACATAGTCCCTTTGGGCTCAGAGACCTCAGCCACAAAGAAAGGGGGAGGAAGAGGGAGTGGCTTCAAATCCTAGACCCACTGATAATGCTCCTCTGAGCCTCCACTTTTCTATCTGTGAAATGGGGGAGCACACTGGCATCTTGAAGCCACAGAAGGTGGGGGGAAGCTGGAGGTCCCCCATGGCTCCAGGGTCTCAGTGGGATTGGTGCCACTGCCCCCATGGAGGCCTTCAGTGTAGGAGCAGTGTGAATATGGGATGTGGGTCATACCCGCCCAACTCCTGGCCTCAGAGCTCCATCTGCACAATGAGACCCATGTGACCCAGTTGTCTCAGGAACCCCGCTCTACAGTCTCAGCCCTCCATCTGCTCAGGGGCCCCCTCCCAGGGAACAGCACCCCCACCTCCAGATCTGCAGGAGGGGGCGGGGCCTTCAAAGGGCAACAGCCCTGCTAAAACGTAGACACGCCTCCCTGGTGTGGGCAGGAGCCCCCTTGGTGGGCAACTCACTCGTCGGGAAACACCACGGCCTCGTTCTTGATCTTCTTGTGCAGGGCCAGGATGTACTCGTCAATGAATGGGCACTGAGGGTAGAGAAGCAGACAGAGGATGCTGGCCCGGGGCCCAACCTATGCTAGGAGACTGGTCCCATCTCTCTGGGGCGGAGGGGAAACTCTGGGGCTCTTCATTAGACGGGAGGGGCCTCATCTAATTTGTTCAGGATCTGACACACAGCACTGCTCAACAAACGCTGACTGAACCAATAAGTCCCTGAGAGAACCATAAGTGGGTGTGCCCACCGGCATTACAGCCACCTGCGGAAGGGCCTCCACTCCCAGGGCCTCGAATTTGGGAACATGTTCACTGAGATTCCCTCCTGCCCCTCAGGGCGGTCACTGGAGCGGGAGCACATGCGGATGGGGATCTCGGCCAAGTCAGTGTCGGGGGTCCCCAAGGCCCAGCCTGACCTAGAGCAGGAATCAAGGGCAGTTTATTGATGGAATGAATGGCTGCATAAATGTGTGAATGAATAAATGGCCTCAAGGAACAGAAGGACAGGGAGCACTCTGGCTGGAGAGGTGGTGACACCGCCATCTACACCTCTCCTCGGGATGTCTGCTGTCCCAGGACCCTTTCTCATGAATCCTCTCCCAAGGGAACAAGAAAAAAACAGAAAAAGCCTCTTTTCCCTCAGTCTTCTCTGAGCCAGATGACCGCTCCCAAAATTTACGTTCCTTTAGGACACAAAGGAAGGGCCTGGCCCTGGCATTCATCCTGGTTCAGCTGTGCCTAGCCCACAGTGCCAGCCCACCCAGCACTCACCTTCCCATAGATGAAGCAGTACAACGTGACCCCAGTGGCCCACACATCCAAGGCCTAGAAAGAAAACAACTCGTATCAGTTCCCCAAAAGGAACCAACACGCCTTGCCCACCAAGTTCCAGTGGGCTGTGGGAGAAGGCATGCAGGGGACCACCTTCCTCAACCACGTATTCACTCAACAAACACTCCCAGGCCTCTGCTCTAAGCTCAGCTGTGTGCTGAGCACTGGGGCCAGGACAGCACCCCTGCCCTTCAGGGATGCCAAGTCTCCTTGGAACAAGCCTAAACAGATCCGCTTCCAACTCAACAGGTATAAAACTCCCTTAATTTCAGGGTCACATTTGCTGTACCCATCATACAGATGTAACCTGGAAATGAATATTGAACTTACACTCACTAAACCGGTTTGTCATTCCCTTTCCTAATGATCCACTGGCGAGGCCACCATCTTCCTTTCTGACCCCAGAAAACAGCCCCTGCCCACACCAAGGCCCTGGCCCTTGGCCACCTCCCCAATTCCTCCCAGTTCCCACATGCTCGGGTTCTAACATGTGCTCTTGCTACATTTTCCCTTCTGGAACCCCACCTCCTCTCCTGGGATCACTTTTCTCTCTTATGCAAATGAGTCTCAAATCTCTACCTAAATATTCCAGCCAAAGATGCCTTATCTGAATCCAATCGGGGAACTCCAGACAAACACAAACTGACATCATTCTACCAGATAACAGGCCTGTTCTCCAAAATGTCAAGGTCTGGAAGGAGAGGCCAAAAAACTCCTCCATATTCAAGGACAGCAAAGAGAAGTGACAAGTGAACTCAGGGACGGACCCTGGATCGGAGCCCGAACCAAAACAAGACAAGGCTTTAAGGACAGAATCAGAACAACTGATGAAATCTGAATAAGGCTGATTAGATAACAGTCTTTTTATCAATGATACATTTCCTAATTTTGATAACTGTACTGAGGTTATATAAGACAATGTCCTTGTTCTTAGAAAATATCCACTAAAGTAGTTAATGACAAAGGGGGATAATGTCTCCAACTTAACTCTCAAGTGGTTCAGAAAAATGTCGTATGCATACACATACACATAGGGAGAGATGGTAAAAAGGCAAATGGGACAAAATGTCAATAATTGGTGAAGCTGGGTAAAAATATATATATGGGAGTTTTTGTATTATTCTTGCAATTTTTCTGTAAATTTGGAATTACGTCAAAGTTAAGTTTTAAAAAAATCTCTGTCTACATCCCTGCATCTTTCTTCAGCTCTACACCCGCACACAAGCTCAGATGCCTCTTGACCGTTGCCTCTTTGGCAGGGCACAGTTGGGCAGCCAGCATGCCACAGGTGAGAGCTGGCATGTGCGGCCCCTGCTCAGAAAGCTCCGCCCACTGCCTCTGTCACTTAGGACAAAGCCCCAGCTTCCAGCCTTAACGCTGCCCAAGCCCCACTGTGCCACTACCCTGTGCCCCTTCTGTTCTCCTACATGTTGTCCGGGCTCCATCTCCTGCTCCAAGCCTCCCCATTTTTCAAAGCCTAGTTGAAACCCTGCCATGTCCAAGAAACCTGTCCCCCCAGACATGAGCTCTCCTGCCCTTTTCACCATCTCCAGAAGGGCAGGCAGCTGGGCTGTCTGAGCTCTGTCTGTTCCACAGCCCAGAGCCGCTGGCAGGAAATATCTGCAGGGGAGACTTGGGGTAATTTTGCTGAAAAATGAGAGGAGGTCAAAGTGGGGGATTTTGTCAGACTCTAGGAAGAGGCAAACACGAAGGAGGGGACCACGTTTAGTATTCACTCCCGAGACACAATGACCCTGGCATCCTCAGGTTGGAAATGAGGCCTCGCTGCAAGCTATGCCGCCCCTTCACCTGAACCCCAACCCGGCCCGGGCCCTGGAAGCCACCTTCCCGCTGAAGCTCTGGCCAGAATCAGAAATGGCCTCAGGGGCCATGAATGCTGGGGTCCCGGCCGTGCTGGACAGCTGAGCATCGTTTCCCTCAAACTGGTTGCTGACGCCGAAGTCGGCAATCTTCACGTGCCCGTCGTCCCCCAGGAGCAAGTTGGATGGCTTGATGTCCCTGTGGATGATCTTCTGGTAGTGCACTGCAGAGAGAGGCAGCTGGAGCACTGGCCGGGGGGACCACTGCCCAGAACCCCACCCCTGCTCTTGCCTGGCCAGGGTAGCCCGTCTCAAATTTCAGGTGAGAAGGAACCCCCACACACACTCCTCTCATAAGGACCTCAGAAGAGGACTGCAGGGTCCCCTGCTCCGCCCTGCAGTGAAGACACCGAGGCCAGCCCAGGTCGTGAGCAGCGAGACAGGACTGGACTCTTAGGAGTCTTTGGGCTCCAAGTCCAGGGCTCTCTCCATGCCAATCAAGGCACCTGTTGCTGGGGCAGGTCAGAAGAAACTCGGGGAGGGGGGTTCTCCATAGGCCATCTCTGGCTATCTGCAGGCCCAAAGCCCATCCAAACCTTTCCCCAGTCCCATTCCCCACCCATCCTGGTCAGAGATGTTCCTGCTCTCTGGACTTAGTGTGGGAGTGTGGGGTATCCTGCAGCGGTACTGCCTCAGTCCTAAGGACTCTGGGCTGAAGATGATTCAGAGAGAGAGGGCTTGGGACTGTTGGGATGAACATGGCTGGGGAAGGGTCAGCCTCGTCTAGTAGGCAGGGGGCTCAACCTGCTTTCTGGGGCCAGCACTGCTGGGAAGAGGCGGGCAGCTCAGGCTGAGAGAAGGCACTGACCCCACCCCACTGCCATCCACTAGGGCTCCCCCCTCAGCAAATACCTTCCTCCGGACTGATAGACCCCAGGATGTTGGAGGGGGAAGAGAGATAGAAAGGGAAGCAGGAGAGGGAAGATAAGGAGGGAAGGAAAGCTGGGGGCCAAGAGAGTGAGTTATATAACAACAAAACCAAGAGGAGGGCGAGAGGTTAGTACATGAACATCCTTAAGGGAAAGCAACCTCTGGCAGGGAGCAGACACCAGCTTGTCCTATAGTGATTGCTTGTGTACCAGGCACACACAAGGGATTAGGCACACACCCACCAGAGCACAGGGGCTCAAGGGGCTGTGCATTTGACCATGGCAAGTGGCCTCAAATTCTTATCTCAAACCCTGGCCTCTCCCTTGAACTCCGGGCTCTTTATCCACGTGGATATCCAGTAGACATCTCAGTATATGTCTCAATAGTTCTCAATAACACGTCTAATTCAGAACTTGATTTCTCTGTCTGCAATCTCCATCACCACCACCACCAGACAAACCAAACAGAATAAACCCTGCTCCTCCTCTAGTCTTTCTCTTTTGGTTAATGGCATATTACCATTTGCTCGGGTTTCTCTCTCAGACCCCACATCCAATTCACCAGCAAGTCCTGCGGGCTCAGCCACTAAGATATATCCCAGATATGGCTGCTTCTCACACCTGCAGTGCTGCACTTGCCCCATCTGTAAGAATCAGGTCTGGACTCTTAACCACAGGGACTGCCCTGGGCAGCCTCGATGCCCCCTTAGAGAGACCAGAATGACATGGCAGGTGGGTCTTCAGCACTGGGTGCCTCCATTCATCTACCAGTCTAGCCCCTGGTGCTCACCAATCCATCCCAGGAAGCCCTCCACTGTGATTAGCTGGGTCTTGATAAGGATTTATCCAAGAGTCAGATGGGATTAGCTTGGGCTTTTTTTTGTGGGGGGGGAGTGAAAGGGTGGAATAGAAGATGGGAGATAACAGACCCTCAAGTGAGGAGAAGGTCCCAGGACAGGAAGGGGGTGGAGGTCAAGCTGGTACAGGGTGGTGCCCACCGTTGACCACACCAAGGGTGAAATGCCCCCTTCCTATACCGCTAGGCTCCCGCTAGGGACTTTCTGCAAAGCCGTCCTCCCTTTGTGACTCAGTTTCTCCATATGAACAAAGAGAATATTAATCTGAGGGCATTGGAGGGGCTCAAATGAGCTAAAAACAGTCCTGGTTCCTGTCATCTCACCAGGGCTCTTATCCTATTCCCTTAGGGCAACAATACGCTCCTGATAAACCAAGCTAAGATTTTAGAGAGACGGGCCCTACTCCTGCGCCCCAAACCAGGCAGGAAGCCCAGGTGCCTGGGGGCCCTCCTCATCACCAGGACTAGCCACCCCACCTCCTTCCTATCTCCTCCCCACGCCACTGTCCTAATCCAGGTCTTACCATCTGTCACTTGGGCTCTAGAATCAGCCTCCTCCCTAACCAGCTGGCCACCTCTTGCCCTCTATCCAGCCACCACACAGCTGCCAGACAGAGCTTTCTAAGATGCAAATCCTATCATGCCCCTCTCCTGCTCAAAGCCCTCGGGTGTTCATATGCTGACAGGATGAATCATGAAAGTCTGCTGTGGAGGCATTCCCAGCCCTCAAGGTGTGGCCTTAATAGCATTTCCGCTATTGTTTTTCACTACACCCTCCTACCCCCCTCATGCTTCAACAAGACTGAACTTCTCCCCTTTCTTAAATAATACATGCCCACTCCCCTCTGTGCCTCTGCGATGCAGTTCTCTCTGCCTGCTGTACTCTCTCTCCCTCATCCCTCAAGCCTGACCAACGAACTCCTACTTATCCCTCAGGACCCTGGCCACAAGCAGCCTCCTCTGGGAAGCCTCCCTTGGCCCCTCAGTGCTCTGACAGCCCCCGTGCCTCCGGAGCCTGGGCAGGCACTGCACTATATCATCTGCTTGCTTAGATGCCTGTCCCTCCTACTAGGCTGTGAGATCCTTGAGGTCACATCTGGGTCCTTGTCACCTCCCTGCCCTGAGCCACCACTTAGTAGGCACTCATAAATGAATGAATGAAATGAATATATGAGTAAATAAAGGAATTTCATAGACAGAGGCTAAGCTAACACTCTCCCTCCTGAACTAACATCATCTTAGGGCCCCTCACAGTAAACCCACCCTGCCACCACCCACAGGCTCCAGGACAGGACAGGCTCTCAAGCAGCTGGACAAAATCTCTCCCTTCCCACATCCCTTGAGGCCCTGTAGAGAGGCTAAGCTTGGCTAAGACCTCAGCAGAGGAGAGATATAAACAGAACACGCAAGGCGCAGAATGACTTAATGGTGACCGGGCACTGTGAAGGACCTGGGCAAGCCAGACGAAAGTCGCCGCCATCCCCTTGGTCTTTCTTTTCAGGTTTTGGCCCAGCCCACAGGTCCATGCTCCCGCCCTCAGCTGAAGCTGATTGGCAGATCAGCGCTGACTGACAGGAACTGCTCAGAGCCTACTCACCCTGGGCTCTCGCCCTCTGGTGTCCCCCTACGCTGTCCCCCGTCCCCAATCCCAGGGGGCAAGCAGCCCCTCACTCACAGTACTCAAGTCCCAGGATGATGTCCCGCAGGTAGAGGCGAGCTTGCTCCTCCGGAAAGGGCTTGTCGCAAGGCACCTCCATGACCGGCCTACGGGGAAGGAGGGGAGAAGGGATTTGCAGCTGAATTAGGTTGAATAAAAGCAGACAGCAGGTGAAGGCGAACAGGGGCTGGGTCCTGTTCTTGGGACCTCCCAGGAGCCCCCTATGCTTAAGTGGGTCCTGAGAACCCAAGATAATTAGCTTTTTCTCCATTAAAATGAAAATTTAAAAACACACATTGACACAAATATCCATTTACAATCATTATAATTTCAAACTAGCTTTATCTTCATTTCTGGCTCGATATTACTTCTTCTAAGTACTTAATTATGTATAATCAAACAGCTGCAAAGATGCCATTTGGAGCCGTGGTTTTCAAACTAGGTCCAGACCTAACTAACAGAGCGTCATGAAATCAATTTCGTGGGTGGCTACTGCTTTTTTTCTAATGAAGTAGAATATATCAGAGTATATCATATGTAATAAGGATACGTGCTGTTTTATAAAACTTTGGTTTCAGTGACAGATATAGATGGCAACATAAAACATATTTCTCACTTTGAATGGAGGTCAAAAATATTTGAAAGCCCCTGAGTTTCAAAGGGACACCACTGCCTGCCCCCACCCCCATACAGGTCATTAGGAAGTCCCCCAGCAGAGAGACAAGCCACAGCCTGTATTTAAGGCCTTGGCAGTTAGGGCTTCTGGTCCACCCAGGCCCAAGCCCATTACTCCATGTCTGCTTCTTTGCAAACACCCTGAGAAGGCCAAATAAGGCAGACATGATTTAGAACCCCAGGTTTCATCAGCGACGTGCTGTATGATGTTGGGCAAGGCACTTACCCCCTGTGAACCTCAGCTTCCCCTCTTGTAAATGGAAGGGACTGGAGTCCCACCCTTCCAACTCACAAACTTGTAAAGCTGAACTAACTCTTCGTGATTCGAATACAGGTAAGAATTGAGTCCCAGCTCTACATTTTCACTTGAGAAACACTCCTTTTTCCTTCGTCTCCTCCATCAAAATCCTCTTTCCAGTTCTTCAAGGCCTGGTTCAAAACCCACACCCTGTTCCAGAAGCCTCCCTGGCTATTCAGCCTCCCTGGCCCCCATCAGCCTTCCAAGAATCGTCCTCTTGGTCTCTTGTTTCCTCCCAGACCAGAGATCCCCAAGGGCAGGGCCTGGGCCTCAGCTATCTCCTAGAATAGCTGACCCTAGGACTAGGGACACAGGGAGGGAGAGAGGAAGGCCTGGATGAGACTTGACCTGCCTGATTGGGATGGGGAACTCACCCCTTTCTCAGGAGGTCAAACACTGAAAGAAAAGAGAAGAAAAGAAGGTAAGATGCAGCCAGGCTGGCAGAGCAGGGGATGCCAAGGTCCCTCCCTGTTCTGGAGGGTGGGAGTGGGGTAGGCATCCAGGCATACTTGACAGGACAGGGGTCCCATGGCATCAGAGGAGGTAAATGGGCGAGAATGGGGTCGCCTATGGACCTGCCTCATCTAATTCACCGTGAACCCCTTTTATGAGGTAGAGGTGGGGTAAGTGAGGCTCAGGGAAGGGGCAGGAATTTTCCTAAAGGTTATAGCAGATAGGCAAGTAGGAGAGGGAGTGGAGACTAAAGCCTTGGCCTCTAATTTGTATACCAGCGTCCTTCTGCCCCTTTTTCTGAGGGCCTCGAAGCCAGGCCATGAATCAGGCACCACAAACTTAATTTAACATTAATATTAATATTAACAATAATGGCTGTTATTGTTAATGTGACTTGCATATAGTAACACATTTACTCCTCACATCAGCCCTACGAGGTAGATACCGTTGTTATCCCAATTTTACAGGTGAGGAAACTGAGGCACAGAGCTATCAGACAGGGTCTGGGAACCCACAGTACATAGCCTGCTTCCTGTATCTACTTGACCCGTTGTCTCTCTGATCAGCAGAGGCGGGGCTTGAAACGCTGTTGACTCTAACTGGATATTCTGCGCCTGGCTCAGCAGAGCTGGGCAAGGGAACCCGGGGCTGGAGAACATGTTTCCTCCCTGCTCCTGTGAAGGTCACGTGTGTCCCCCAAGAGCCCTTGGACCAACCCCAGGTGAGCTGCTTTGGGAATGAGCTGGGCACTCACCTAAATAGAGATTGTCCTCAGCTGGGTCATCCAGGACCTGGTCAGAAGGAGCAGGCATGTGGATAAGGCTTGAGGAGGCGTGGGATGGGAGTCCCAGGCCTCCTTGTCCTCACCAGCCCCAGGACCGCCAGGATACTCTGTAGCCACCCCAGACAATGGAGCAGGAACTGAGCAGGCACAGACAGGTGAAGCCTCAGAAATCATTCAAGCTCACCCTCAGTGGGCTCTTGAGAACATCCCAGATCAGCCTGAACTAACTCCCGAAGCCTCCCTACAGCCCCTGCCCCAAGTGCGGCCGTGCCCTTTGGAGGGCTCAGCCACATCCGCTCCCTCAGTGGGATCGTTGGGTCTGTGCTGGGTGCCCCCAGCACCGGAGGCTGCTCCACAGGACTCGGGCACCGGTTCCCAACCATTTACCACCACCGCCTACCTCGATCAGCTTGACCACATTCACGTGGTCCAGCTTCTTCAGGATGGCGATCTCCTGGTACACCCGCTCCAGGGGTAGCAGCTGCTTGGCTGGTCCTCCTTGTGCAGCCTGGGACCCTCTTGGGGGAGGGCGGCCTGTGATCAGGTAGGGGAGTCAAGCCCCTGTGAAAGGAGGGTGGGCCTCACCATGGCCCCACCACCGGCCTCAAGCAAGAATCTTGCAGGACCATGGTCTTGTCCCCAACCCACCAAGCACATGCTCACTACCAGGGCTTTGTTTATGCTGTCCCCACTCCAGCCCCAGTACTAACAAAAACGAGCTAGGGACCAAGGTTTCCTCTTTCTCTTCCCCCAGGCTGGGAGCTCCCAAGCACAGGACCCAATAGGTACATACGTGGAAAGCCATACTGCTTCAGTAACTTCTTTTTGGAAAGAACTTTCATTGCCTGAGGAGGGAGGGGTGAAAATGCCACTTGTGTGCAGCCACCAGGGGCTAGAACAGGCTGGTTCTATGTGGACTGAGTCCAGAAAGGCACATTGGGCATCTGCCACTAGCACTGAGGGTATGGCTGGGTGTGGTCAAGCTGGGTGAGGAGGTGGTCATATCTGAGTCTAGGCCTTACGCCTATTCCCCATCAAGCCTTTCTGGAGCTCAGCCCTCTAGAGGTACCCAGACTCTGCTTGCATATTCCTAGGGTCAGGGAGCTCTTCCTTTGCAAGGAGTTCACTCCCTCCAGAGGCAGTGTTGGCCTCTGTCCTCCCAGCACAGCTTCTGCCCACCCCCTCCGGGCTCCAGCAACACCTCCCTCCATCCCCAGACTCACGTAGTGCCTGTCTTCACTTTCATTATAGGCCAGTCTCACCACGCCGTAGGCACCCTGCGGAGAGGCACAGGTCAGCCCCGCCTGGACAGAGCCATCTCCCCCAGGACTAGCTCAGGAAAAGGGGAGCCTGAACAGCTCCAGTCCCTTCCTCCTGCATCCCATCTCCACCCCCACCACCAACAGGCATACATTTCAGGTAGACGGGGAGGGGGCTCCTGAGACCTGGTAACTGCCCCTGCCTAGCTCAGTGCGGCTTCGTGCCTCCCCTGCTCTTCCTTGTCTTCCATCAAAAATTCAGGAACCAGGAGTCATCTCCCCCACACAACCACCCCAGGTATTTCCTACAAAGGACACGATTTTCCTCGCTTCCAGGCTTGTGCCTTCCTGCCTCTGCCTCATTCTCAGAGAAGAGGTTGTGCCAAGGAGAGGATCGAGACAGGCTGCTTTCACAAAGCCCCAAATGAAGTTCTCACTGCTTCTGGGCTCCATTCCTACCTTGCCAATTTCACTCTGCAGCTTGTACTGGTTCAGCTGCACACAATCCTGGGGGAAAAAAGAGGGAGAATCCGGTAAAGATTGATTCAGAGGCAGCACTGCTTCCACCTCAGGAGCCTGTTCAGGGCCCAATCCTGGCCCCAGGCCCCTCACTCCTAGACCCAGGGTCTCATCACCTTTCAGGTTGGGATGGGGAAACTCGGTGGTGCCAACACCACCGAAAGTGACAAGAAGCATTGGATGATGTTTGAAAACATGAATGGGAAGCCATGGCTATGCTCTGCTCCCTAGGAAGTGGGGAAGGAAAAATGCGCTGATTTCTGCCTGGATGCTGGGGTCTGGGAGACCCAAATCTGTAAGAAAGCCATGAGCAAGTATGTCTAGAATCAGCTAGATTGCATGGACAAGAAGGAGAAGCCCTGGGAAGAGAAGACCAGAGCCCTGGCTCAGGCATAAAAAGCTCAGCCTCTGAAGGCTGTAGATTGCTCAGTATTCAGGTTCACTTTCAGATCTAAGCGGCAAGGACAGAGCCAGTGGGAGCCTGGAGGCTGAAAGCACGCTGGCAGCTTGTGAGTCAGAGCAGACACAAGGAGGCATTAGAGGTGGGGGCTCAAGCTGGGGAAGTCTTGGGGTGGAAGGACATTGTGTCTATTTTCAAATTTCTGACTTCTTGGGGGACAAGGGAGGGGCCTACTTCCAAGGCCTAGACTGGGTGGGGGTGGGAATGGTGGGACTTAAAGGAGGCAGAGGTTGGCCCAGGTGGAGCTTCCGAGTGGGAAGAGGCCTTAGTGTGAGGTAGTGAGTGCCTCAACTCTGGGGGTATGCAAACCCAAGGCTAAACAGCTGTGTAGCAGGGATAGGAGCAAAAAGGGTCTTTGCTGAAGACTGCTAAAAAGCTCATGAGCACCCCCTAGCTCTGCCCCACCAACCTCTGCATCTGAGATGGCCACATGGTGGGACTCGATGGTGGGCCTCCGCCAGGTCCGTGGGGAGATATGGCTGGCAGGTCCTGTGGCATAAGGCCCAGCCTGGGCCTCCAAGCAGCTTGCTGCTGACCGCTCCTGCAGGGAAAACTTCCTAGCTGAGAGGCTAGGACGACCTAGGGGGAGTCTTGAAGCACAGCCAGGGATCATGGAAGCAGCTCTGGCCCGTGGTGGAGGGTCCACACCATTCCTGGCAGGCCCTGGGCCACCATCCGCCTCCTCCAAGTGGGCCACATCGATGGCGGCCACTCGTTCCACCAACTCTGCCCGAGGGTCCTGGCAGCAGACTGCTGGGCCCCCCTCCATGGCCATGGTCAAGGGGGTCCTCTGTGCAGCCTTATCAGGAACCTGAGAAAAGAGGGCAAAAAAGCGTTCAATTCTGGCCACGGAGCAAGGAGGTCAGATCTCTAGGCCCTTCTCCCATTGTAGCCACAACCCTGTGGGTTCCACCTCCATGCTTTTTCCCTGCCTGGTCCCTCTGCCTGGGTTGCCAGCATCCAAAATCAGGTCTGTCTCTACCAACTGAAGGAATTCCAGGAACTCATTGGGCTCTGCTGCACATCAGCCCTTCTAGACCTCAGTATTCCCATCTGTAAAACAGGCACCGTCATGTCTATCATGCTGGCTTCACAGGGAAGCAGGAAAACTTGATATACTCTGGAGTCAGGATAGGCAGACACGGACAGAACACTGGAAGCCTAGTAGCCCTGGGAGAAATGGAGTCCAGGGGCAGCTCAGGCCCAGCTCCAGCAGACAGCCCAGTGACTCACCAGCCCCACCCCTGCACAGGAGAGCATTCCAATGGGGCCGCCTGGAAGCTAAGCTGGGCGCTGGTATGGCAGAGGCCCCTCTGATGCTCCAGGCCCACTCACCTCCTCCAGGGCAGCCTCTCTGATATTCTAGCCTGCTACCCACCCCTCTCACTGCTTCCAGGAAAATTTCCCTGGGGCTCCAGGTTCTCTCATCTCCTCCAGGGAGGCCTCTCCAGGGCTGCAGGGCAAGCCTCCCATTACTCCCTGCTCTGCCTCTGGCAGAACCTGCAGCCCAGGACAGGGTCCGTTAGGGCAGGGGGGCTGCTGCTTTGGTGGCTGTTAAAAGAGACTGCACTGCACTAAAAGGTCATTCCTGGGGCCGGCCGAGTGGCTCAGTTGGTTAGGAGCATGAGCTCTGAGCAATAGGGCCGCCGGTTCGATTCCCACATGGGCCAATGAGCTGTGCCCGAGCTGAGCTGCCGCTGAGCTGCCAACAGGTGCTGAGAGCACGTGCTCCTAACAAGTCTGCCAGTTCGACTCCCGCATGGGATGGTGGGCTATGCCCACCCGCAACTAAGATTGAACACAGCACCTTGAGCTCAGAGGCCGCGAGCTGCTGACGGGAAGCCAGATGGCGACTGGACTTGGGAGCTAAGCTAGCTGCACCCTCCAGAACTAAAACTGAAGGACAACAACTTGGCTGTTCCCCTTCCCTAATTCCCCAACACTGTTCCCCTTCCCCAATTCCCCAATAAAATCTTTAAAAATAAATAAGTAAATAAATAAAATAAATAAGGTCATTCCTTATTTCTCCTGGTTTTTCCTTACAGTTTATTTGTGTGGCCAAATGTTTGCCACATCTGCTCAGACCGAGACGCATCCCCCTGGCCTGGCCTTACATCCACCCAGAACTTATTGCAGTCTGATCCCCAAACCAGGCCCGAGGCCAATGACTTAAACCCCAAACCAACCTCCAACCTCTAGCCCCAGCCCTCACCCTTGACCACAATCCTAGGGGGAACCCTGACACTCGGGTCAGACTCCATTTCTGCTCCAGGCCAAGCACTAGCCCCACACCCCAGCCCGACGCACCTCCCCCTTCGTGGGCCAAACCAGGCATCTTTTCAGGAAAAGGAAGTGAATGGACTCCTGACCTTCTGCCCTTCCTCTTTGATGGTAACTTCCTCTATCCCCACACAGTGACTTTGAGAACACAGGTCTCTGCTTCACCCCTCATTCCCCCATCACCTTTCTTTGACAGATGTCAATGAGGCAGGGCTTGCTGGAGTCCATCGGCCGCAGAGGAGCCTGGGCCGGGTTCTGGTGCTGCCTGCCAACCTACTGTGGGGCCCTAGGCAGGCTCCTTCCCACCTGAGCCTGAGTCTTCCCATCTGTACTATACATGTGGGGCCTTCCCAGATGCCCTAGGGCCACAACAAGGCTTCGAGATGGATTGTGGGTAAGGATGTGGTCCAGACCCGCTGTGCCTGGCACACAGAACGTTGAATGAGTAGAAGCGCGGAGGTGGAGGAGCTCCTGTGGACATGCAGAAAGGAAGCGGGGAAGGGAATCCAGATTGGTAACAGGAAAAGACATGGAGGCTGGACCTAGCGATGTGTGTGTGTGTGTGGGGGGGGGCGGTGTTGGTGAGGCTAGAACATCAACAAGTCCTCCCTGGAGGTGAGAGAGGAGTGCGTAGGGCTGGCGCATCAGGGAGGCCTCCCTGGAGGAGGTAAGAGGGGGCAGTGAATGGGGTTGAGTGTCAGGGAGGCTTTAGGAACCAGGTCGCTTGCAGCAAGGAGGAAGCCAAGGCTGAAGGGAGCCCTCCAAGCCTGGCCCACCCATCCCAATCCTTTCTGTAGGTGGCCCACCCTTCTGTACGCCGTCCCCCTCACTCTGCAGGCCCTTTTTCTCCCACCAGAATATAAACTCCATACATTAGGACTCTTGTCTGCCTTCTCTCCATAAGATCACTGGTGTTTGCAGCAGTGCCTGGCACAGGGTAGAAGCTGGATAAATATTTGTTGAATAAATGAGTGGTTGCCATAGTGACCATTACTGTCCTGGCCCCATTAGACAGATGGGAAAGCAGCATCAGAGAGACCTCAATAAGCCTAAGGCCCCAGCCCAAGGCAGGGGATGAATCAGTGTCAGAAGCTCCTCTCCTTTAGTCCAGGACAGGGACCAAGGGACAGAGCCACCACCCAAAGAGGTCAAAAGCTGCCCTAGCCCATAAACTTTGCATCTGATTTCCCCGAGGCTGTTTTCCCAACCAGAGGCCATCCTCCTTTCTGGGAGGCAGAAAGAGGCTCGGCAAGAGTCAGGGATGGTCCAGGGGTCACACAGGAAGTCAGTACAGAGTCTTCCTGCCCCAGCCTGGGGCCCTGTTACCTGGCATAGGCTCTGCGCCTTCCTGGGCTGAGCCCATGGGCAGGTGACTGCACCTCTGTGCCTGGGTTTTCCTCATCTGCAGAACGGGGGTTACTAACAGTCTCAGCTCCCTGAGCAGGTGGTTCTGAGGAGAAAAGGAGTGAACACCCACGCAGGGCTCAGAACTGAGCCTGCCGCTAAGGAAGCCCCATAAAAGTGAGATGTTGTTGTGCTGCTGTTGTTGTGATTGCCTGGCACACACTGTGGACCAGATGGATGCGAGGGCGGCACAAGGAGACTATGAGTGCTGACGTCAGACCCTCCAACCTCCCTCCTGGCCTGGATCAAATTCAGGTGACTAAGCACGTCTGTGAGGCAGCCCAGGGGGCCCCAGGTTCCTGTCTTGTGTCCAAGCGACAGGGCCTGGTGCCCAAGGCTGTGCATGTGAGGGCATGTGCCACACGTGACAGAATGTGTGTGACCAGGCTGTGGACCTGGAGTGACAGTGTGTGTCTGTGTGTGTGTGTGGGGGGGGGGCGTCCACACATGGGCATGCATCTATGTGAAGACAGAAATCTATTGTGTGGTCTATATGTGTGTGTGAGTGTGATCATGTGCACTGTGGGGGCCATGGGAGTCTGAACACAAAAGGTCAAGTTTAAACTTCCCACTGGTCACCTATCCACCAACCTGGAGCTGCCTGCTGGGCTGGGCTGTGTGCTTTGGGCAGGACCCAGGACTCTCTGGGGGCTCCCCAAGGGGGTCTCTCAAGGCCCTCCCCAAGCTGAGGTCCCAGTAGACACTTTGTAGAAACTAACTTGGCAGATAACTAGGTGCCACATGGGCAAAGAGAAGGACAGACAGACTGGGACCCAGGCCCAGGGTAGAGCAAGGACTCCTCTGGGCGTGGGGAGCCTCCCAGGGTCCAGCCTAGTCCTGCAGCCAAGAATGGCCAGGCTCAGGCTCTCCCTAACTGGGAAAAGCTACCCCAGTCCTGTTCTCCCAGGCTGGGACTATGTCATCTCAGACAAGTCATTGAGCCTCTTAGGGTCTCAGTTTCCTCATAGATGAGTCGGATAGATGGCCACCATCCTGCCCTGGGTAGGGCTATGAAAGGAAGTAAATAATGTGGACACTGAAGCAGTTTGTGCCCAAGCGATGTGGGGCTGGGGTGTGTCTGTCAGGAAGCCACCGAGGGAGAGCCTTGATGTACAAAATACAACACCATATCTCCCCCTGGTTCCGAAAGGCCTAGCACATTAGCCCCCTCAGGCTGCTCCTCCCAGACTATGTTCTCCAACCACAGCTGTTTGGCTACTCCCAAGAGATGCAGACCCTGGCTCTGGCTCCTGCTTGGCCAGACCTCCTCCTTTGGATGTGCCCCATCCACCTGGGTCCCTCAGAGGAGGCCCAGGGCAGGACAGAGGGGCAGATCCTGCTCTCATCCCAGCTGGTTCAAGCAGCCCTGCCTGGATGACCCAAGCACCAGTCGAGCCTCACTCTGAGTTCTGGAAGGCTGCTGTGAACCTCGGGGACAGGTTGAGCCGGGGACCAGCTACGATCCAGGCAGAGAGGACACAGCCCTGACGGGCAGAGGACTAGCCAGCAGGGAAAGCTGTAAGGAAGCGTGCTAGCCACCAGGGCCAGACGCAGAAGGTGGCCTTGACATCACTGGGTTGCCTCACAGGAGCTGTGTTTATGCTCCTGACAAGTGTCTGGATGGCCCTGGCAACGGGTGCCCTTGGCGGCTCCCGCCTCCACCCGGAATGACTCAGTCCCCTCCAGGGAGGCCCAGGCATCTGGTGCCAAGTCATGCTTGAGGATGCCTGCTGTGAGCACGCCCCCTCCCACCATCCCAGGGGAGGCCTCAAGCACTTGAGGTGGGCTCTGCCTGATTTCACACGGCAACCCTCAGTGTATCCTCAGTTCACCCTAGCTGATGGTCTCACCTCTGCCTCTGCACCTCCTCACCCTCCATACCAGGTCTTGCGCCTCCAGCCCAGTTCTTTCCAGCCAGTGTCTCCCCACCACCCCCTCCATGTTCCCAAGCAGCTCAGACCCAACAGGGCCCCGATTCAACTCAGCATTTCCTCTAAGTCTGCTCTTCCTCCTCTGTCCCCATCACAGAGATGGCACCACCATCCTCCCAGTTCTCCCAGGCCAGGAACCCAAGAGCCCTCCTCATCACTATCTCCCTTTCACCAGCCTTGCCCCCACCCCACCCACCCTGAACTTAACTCTCCACTCTGGCAGAACCACACTACGCACAGCTTCCCCAACTGCAGACTGGGTTCTGCTGCCAGGCCTTCTGCCAGGAACATACCTCCCTCTCCTTTTCTGCCAGAGGACAGCCCTGACATCTCCTCCTCTGGGAGCCCTCCCTGATCTCCCCACTGCTGGGGGAGATCACCAAGTTGATCTTCTCTAAAAGTCCAGATTCAGGCCTCCGCTTTCCTTCCCCACTGCTTTCAACCACACAGGTCTTCCTGACTCCAGGCTCACATCCCGACCACACCCATCCCATCCTCCACTCCAGTTACTAGAGGGAATAGCTCTATTGTGCAAATATGGTCACAGTTCTCCCAGATGAGGAACTTGGAATCTGGAGGACAGGAGGCAGGAGACCTGGCCTCAGGCTGGGGGCTCATAGGCTGGGGAACAGCCAGGGATGCAGACTCCTGGGATGCAAATCCAGAGTCATTCATTCAGGCAACAGATACTCACTGAGCACCTGCTATACGTGCCCAAGCACTGTGCTGGGTGCTGGAAGATAAAGCAATGGACCAAAAGACAAAGTCCCTGCTTTCATGCAGTTTCATTTGTACTGGGGCAAGATGCAACAAACAAGAAAGCCCACAATTAACAGATGATATGTCAAGCGGTACGTGCTATGGAGAAAAATACAATCATGTAAGGGGGATCAAGAGCAAGGGGCTGGGCTGGCCGAGTGGCGCGATGGTTAAGAGCTGGCTTGGGACACCAGAGGGCCCCGGTTCGGATCCCACATATGAGGGCCAGTGACACTGCCCTCTACAGCTAAGATGCTGAACAACAGCTCAACCTGGAGCTGGGCTGCCCTGAGTTGCCGGCGACAGCGTAGGCTGCAGCCCCTGTGGCAGTGGGTTGCCATTACGTATGTAGCCAGCAGCCAGCGTGAGCGGCCAGCAGCCGCAGTGAGCGGCCGTCCAGAAGCCGGCGACGGATCTGCCTCACCCGGGAAGAGCGCAATGATGGTGCCAACTTGGGCCAGTGAAGCAACGTCCTCCACAACTAGACTGAAGACCAAAACGACAGCAACTTGTCTGTTCCCCTTCCCCAATTCCCCAGTGCTGTTCCTCCCATCCCCCCAGTTCCCCAATAAAAATCTTAAAAAAAAAAAAAAGAGTGAGGGGCTGGGGGTTGCTATTTATACTGTGTGGGTAGAAAAGGCCTTTCTGATGCATTATTTGAGCAGGATCTGAAGGAAGTGAGGGAGAGAGCAGTGTGGACATCTGGGAAGGGCATTTCAGGAAGAGGAACCAGCAACTGCACAGGCCGTGAGCTGGAACAGTGCTCGATCTGTCTTGAGGAACGGCAAGGAGGCCAATGTGGCTGGAGTGGGCTGTTCAGCATGTGAGAAGTACCTGATGGTGATCAGAGTTACACCTGGATGAGAAAGCATCCTTCCCTGTGCCTGGCCTGGGGTATGGCTTCCTGGAAGAGGTGACATTTAAGCTCTTTATGACCACTGAGTAAGGATTTCAGAGGGGGACAGGACAGAAATTCACACTGTATATGACAGAGAGTCATTTCCTGGCTGGGACTCAGGGCTTGGCTTGGGGGGTTGGAGTGGGGGATGTCTTTGTGGACAGAAACCAGGAGCCCTCAAAAGCCAGAGGAAGGTTTTGAGCAGGGGAGTGGCTCAGTCCAATAAGGTTTAAAATAATCCCTCTGCCTGCTGTGGGAATTGAGGGTGAGACCAAGGAGGAGGTAGGGGTCCCCAGAGTCTGTGGGCCTAGGACACAGTCTGGCACACAGTGGGTGCTCAATCTGTACTTGCTGAATGAAGGAGTGAGGGCTGTGGGGAGGCCAGGGGATCTTCCCTGGGATCCTAAGAGACACAAACTGTGTGCTCCTCCTGCACTGCTGGGCCCACTTGTCAGATATACAGCCCCCTATGCACCCACCGAGGTGCAGTCCTGTGACCTGGGGCGTAATCTTCTCTATACACCCTTGTGCGCTCAACACACACACACCCCTCCCAGACGGGCGCACGCCGATGTCCACGTGATCCGCCCTCACATACCACTCCATCCCTCTAACGTACACCCCTCACACACACAGGCACACTCCTGTGTCCACGTGACACACGCACACCCGCCTCCAAACACCACACACAGGTCCCCGCGCACGTGTGCGCCCTCCAAGCTACCAGTTCTGTGTCTATGTGACCCCAGGAGCCGCAGCGACCGCCTCTGCCGCCCCCCCCTCCAACCCCGCCCAGCCAGGAGAGGACTGCGCAGCTAAAGCCACGCTCCTCATCGGTCCCATTCATTCCCCTGCCCCCCACCCCAGCTCTGAAGGAAGACTCAGGGGAGGGCCGTGTGGGAGGAGCTCTTCGCGCAGATCCACACGTGGGTGCACCCGTCTGGGCCCACTCCGCATAGACATTGCCAAGAGCTGGGGCGGGGGTGGGTAGTGCGCCGGGTATGGACGCAGTCCCGCAGACTAGAGCTAAGGGACGCAGATAACCCGGCGCCCTTATAGATGCGGTCCCAGCTGCCAGCGCAGACAGAAGCTGGTTCCGGGAAGCAACCGGTAAAGCCGGCCCTGTAGACATAAGGGGGAGGATCCCCGCACACATAAGGGGGAGGATTCCCGTATGGTCGAGGTCCTGGCTGCCCTCGTAAACTCGGCCTCAGATACCATCCTTCTCCTCTGCAGGCTCCCATCAGACGTTCAGGCGTTCGTCCCTGCCCGCTCCCCGACCCAGGTACCCTCCCCGCAGACCCCTACCTCGGCGCCGGGCGACAGTCTCCGCGGCCCGGCGGGCGGCCAGGCTCGCTCCCGCGGCGCGCGCCCCGTCCGGCCAGCCTAGCCAGGGCCTGGATCGCGGAGCTCAGACCGCCGGCGCCGCGGCTCCGGGCTGCTCTCGCTCCCCCGCCCGCCGCCGCGCCCGGCCCGCGCTCATTGGTCAGACTGCACGGCACCCCCGGCGCCGCCCAATCAGAGCCCGGGACTCCCGCCCTGTTCCTGGAGGGGAGGGGCCGCGGCGGGGCGGCGGGCCGGCGGCTCCGGAGGGGCCCCTCCCCCTGCGGCGGGGCTGGACCCTGTCACGCCCCAGACGTGGGATCCCTGGGGTACCCCGAATCTCTCCAGGCCGCGACCTGGGCCCTCTTAGCTGGGCCTGGAGGGTACGGGTGCCTCCCCAGAAAACCCTTTGTCCTCCCCCCTCCTCATTTCGGCCTGGCAGGGGCCTCCCGGACGCCGGGGGTTGAGGAGAGGTGCTTACTAGGGGAGGGGCAAGGTGAGATTGGCGATAAGGAATGGAGTGGAGACCGAGGGCAAGGGAGAAAGGCCTTGAATGCTGTCAGGAGTTTAGCCATCTGTCGGGTGGGGGTAAGGAGGACTGGAAGCGGCTTCATGTTTGGGGAAGAGCTCCTGTGAGCAGGAGGCAGGAATGGTTTAGCTGGGCCAGAGGGAATGGAGGGGACTCTACAGGACGGCCTGACCTTCACGGCAGTTGTTCTTGGGGACACTGCCCCTCACCTCTCCACTGGCAAACTCATCAACTCTTGGTTCACTTACGCTAAGTTCTCCACTTGTGAATCCTCTGGCACCTCACCCTCCACCCCCACTTGCCCAAGACAGAGCCCCATAACACTCCCCCAAACCTGGCCTCTTGTGTCCCTGTCTCAATCAGCAACCAGAAACCTGGGAGTCACTGTATCTACGCCTTGTCCTGTCCCAACCAGTTGATCACCAAACCCTGCCCATGCTGCCTCTGAAATAGCCCTGGAATCCAGCCACTCTCTGCCCCTCCCTTAACTCAGGCCACACGTCTTCTACCTGGATTGCTGCAGCAGCCTCCTCATTGGCCTCCCACCCCTATCCAGTCTCACCGCCCTGCCCCAATAGCCTTTCTCCACCTGGCATGGCAGCCAGAGCGATCTTTCAGAAACAGAAGTCCAACTAGTCAGCTCCTGCTTAGGAATCCCAAGGCTCACCAGTGCCCTGAGAATAGGTCCAATCAAGCCCTCCATGACCTCAGTCCTAATCACCTGCCTGTCTAACTCCTTTCAGGACTTGGTTCAATGCCCATCTGCCAGGAACCCTGCCTTCTCTCTGAACTCCTCACTGCCCAGTGTGGGTTAGCAGCCCCTCTTCGGGACTTCCTGGTAATGAGCATCTGTTTACCTGCCTGTTTCCCCTTGGGACTGGAAGCTTCTTGAGGGCAGGGACTGTGCCTGATTCATCCAAAACATAGCCTGACACATCGTGTACGTGCTTCAAAAGTGTTTGTCGGATGAATAACTAATTGGGTATGGTAATTAGGGAGTTATATATGTGGGGTTGGAGTCCAGAAAAGACAGCTGGTACAGGGAGGCAGTTTTCTAAGTTCTCAGAAAGAATCGAGAGTCATAAGTAGAGTCATGGGGGAAGGGTGAGATAACTCAGAACAAGTGAAACAGGGGCCAAGAACAGAATATTTGCTTTTAAGGGGGAAAGATTTCTGTACCAGGCAGGATCAGTTTTGACTTAAGTAACAGAAATCCCACATCAGAGCCTCAGGGAAGCCAGTCCTAGGCTGGTATGTCAGCTGTGCTCCACAAAGACCTCCCAGATGTGAGTCTTTCTACTCACTGCTCCAGCAACCTTTGGGTATGACACTTGTCTTCATGGTTCAGGGTGGTGGCTAGAGCTCCAGCCATCACATGTGCATTCTAGGCAGCGGGATGAAGACAAGGACAAAGAAGAGGACAAAGGATCTGCACCAGCTCTCTTTTAAGGAAAGTTCCCAGAAGGTCTCACATGATACTTCCACATACATCCTATTAGCTAAAACTTAGTCACATGACTAGGCCCAGCTGCAAGAGGAGGCTATAAAGTGCAGCTTTTATTCTAGGCAGCCACATACCCAGCCAAGAACCAAGGATTGTATCACTGTAGAGAGAATAGATATCCGGGGACAATAAGCTGACTCCACCATTGAAAGAGAGGATAGAGCACTACTGTGTGCCAGGCTCTGTGCTAGGCACTTTTCTATCTTATCTTACCCCAACCTGAGTAGAAGCTGTTATTATCCCTGACTCACAAAGGAGGCTTTGGAGAGTTAAACAACTTGCCCAAGGACACACACTAACCCTAACCCATGGTAGAGCTGTAACTGAAGCCTGTCTTTTCCCTGCATACCAGGATAGCTGGAAATCAGGAGAGGGTGGGTACTAGAAGCTGCTGGGAGGAAGTCTTTCAACAAAGGAGGGCTTGGTCAACCCTGTCAGAGGCTGACAGGCCAAGCAGGATACAACTGAAGTTTCTGCTTGAATTTGGCAACAAAGATGCTGCCGGTAACTTGGCAAGGGCATCTAGGAGAAGTGGGGGCGGGGGCTGGAGGCCAACTGCAGAGGGTGGGACACAGAGGGAAGTGTAAACTGGTCTTTCTGGAATGGTAGCAGCAAAGGGACAGCAGGCAGAGCTGCAGGGGATCATGGGCCAGGAGGAGGCAGAAGAGGGGAGCAAATACACGAGTGGGAGAGAGGACAGGCAGCCTCTACTGGGAGGCCTCTGGGTTGGGTAGAACGGTTGGATACAAAGAAGGAACCCTTTACTCATTCAGGAGGGAAGGGGGCCGGAGGCACAAAAGCAGGTAGGTCTGGAGAAGGAAGACAAGGAAGAAGAGGAGTTCCTGCCTTGTAAAATCCGAAGGATGGTTCTTGGCTGGGGAAGAGGGCAGAAGGCCAAGGGCCCGAGGGAAAAGTGGGGGGCTAGCCTTTGCTGTCCAATGTGGTAGCCAATAGCCATGTTGGATGATTTAAATTAATTACAAGTGAATAAAAGAAAACGTTCCATTCTTCAGGTGCACTCGCCACATTGTGAGCCCACATGTAGTTAGTGACTGTTATATTGGGCAGCACAGATAGAGAACATTTCATCATTGTGGTTGGACAGCACTGATCTAGATAGAGCACGGTGGTGGGGGTGCCCAGAAACCCTGCCTGGCTGTAAGTCCAGACTGGAGGTCATGCCCACAGCAAGGCCCGTGGAGAATCCCTCCTCACTGTCTTCCTTCAAGACCTTCCTCCCCTCCTTGGGATTCCCTCAGACCTCCCTCCTGGAACAGCCAACCCCTTCCTCACCTCTGCTTTCATGAGGCCACTCCTGAGGGTCTCTGCTTCTCCAAGTGCCAGGCGTCCTACAGCACGGGAGGGGCTGCTGCAGGGTTGGGAAGAGCTCCAGTGATAGGGGCTGTGCCAGGACACTGGCCCATGGATAGAGGTGAGGTGACCCCCAGCACTGACCTGCTGAGTTCAGGGCAAAGTGTCGGCTCACCACCACCCACCAACAGATCCAGAAGGACCTCAAAGTTAGCTCAGTTCCACCCCACATTTCATAGATGTGGACACTGAGTTTCAGAGAGAGCTGGGAAGAAAGCGCAGAAGGCAAAGGTTTGTCCTCGTTCCCTTTATTGTACTGCACCCCTCACTTTCCCCAGACCTTGTGTTCAGACAGAGCTTGGCAGGCCTTGGGAGCTGGGGCTAGGCCACAGGCAGGGAGCCCAGGATTTGGCCAAGGCTCCCACCAGACCAGAGGTAGCTGAGTAAGGATTCATGGCTGAAGGGGCTGTCCTGGCCTGACACTCTTGGGGAGAAGCGTTTCCCATGGAGGTGACATGGCACGGACCTGTGCTTGGGGGTGTAGGAGTGTTCAGATGGTTGTGTTTGCAGGGCCCAAGCTGTTCAAATACACAGTGTGGATAGGAGGGGGAATGTGCATTCTGGTGAGTGTGCACGTGGGGGCGCGTGCACTAGACACCCAGTGGCTTGTGAGCAGCACACCACACACCTGCTGGCTACCAGTACCTGCCATGTGATGCAGGCCTCGGTTAAGTCTGATATCTGATCGGGAACATTTTAAACATAGGTCCTTAAAATGGCCTGGGGAGTCTGCTGTCCTCGCAGATCCTGTGACCAGCACTAGAGATTCTGGTTCAGGAGGTCTGGGGTGGGCCTGCATAGTTAATAAGCTTCCCAGGAAAATCTGAGGCCACTCAGAAACAGGGCACGAACAGAGTTATCCAATAGAACTTTCTGGGGTGCTGAAAATGTTCTGTACTGTCTACTATGGCAGTCACCAGCCACATGTGCCTACTTAGCACTTGTAATATGCTTAATTTGAGGAACTGGAATTTTTATTTTATTCCATTTTCATTAATTTAAATTTAAATAATCGCCTGTGGCTAGCGGCTGCCGTATGTCTAAAGACACGAGGCAGTGGGATGGATGAGGTCCCAGAGAGAGAAGCACAAAGCTCTAGTCTAGGGTTGTGAGAGGAGCCCCGCCCAGCCCCAGCACCTCCACATCAGGAGAGGCTGAGGCTGGGTGAGGTTCGCTTGGCGTGGTGCAGAGCCGGAGCCAGAGCTCAGAACTGTGCAGGTCCCTCCAGTCTCCACTGTGAGCTTCCGGCAACCTGGTATCTGCCTGGGTGAGGGGGAGGGAAAGCTCTTGAGGAGACCTCTCTACCCTGGCTAGGACCCCGCTAAGGGCTGCCGCCTGAAGCCTTGTGCTGCGTCCAGTCAGGAGTCGGGGCCGAGAGTCAGGATGTCCTCATGTTCTCCTGCAGGCCCAGGGTGGAGCTGGTGGCTGCGGGGTCACGCTCGCCCTGTGTGAGCATTGAGGGGGATAAAAGTCAGTCTCGGGAGAGGGGCTGGCTCCCCACCACAGACACACGGCCTGAGGCCCCTGAAGGGCCCAGCTCAGGGAGTTCTCTTACCACCTCTGGGCCCATGTCCTCCGCGTACTTGAACTTCTTCTGCTTGTAGTAATGCCTCTTGGGCAGAATGTGGAGCAGCAACAGGTCACAGAGAACCGTGGCCTGGGGAAAGGAAGGTGATGAAAAGAGCATAGGAACCTGGGGGCAGGGACAGAACCCTCCACATCC